AGGCAGGCCTCAGAGGTTCTGGTCAATAAATAATACAGCTGCCTCCCGGGCGGTCTCTCGTGGCCGATCGCATTTCGGGGCCACTCGAGTTTCTGGGAGGCAGCTTTGTTCAGAGTGCTGGGCTCGGCTGGGTCTGTGGCCACAGGAGTGCTGACTCTCTCACTGAGGGCCGGCTGAGCGGCGAGGACAAAGGCTTTGACAGGTGACCCCCAGGAGAAACTGCCCTACTTATTCTGAAAGGGGAGGGGGCTGGCAGGATTGAGCCATCAGCCTTGTCTGCCTGCAGAGGGCCGGGCAGACCATTCCGGCCCTCATTGTCTCAGCTCCTCACCACCCCATAGTGGTGCCCCCTAGAGAGCCTACTGGCCACTGCCCCGGGGCCTGGTCCACCCCCCAAGCCAGGGAGCCACGCCAGGCCCCTCCTCCAGGAAGCCTCCTAAGTCGCAGCTGGGCAGACCCTGTCCCTGCTGAATTCCTGCCCGCCCGCGTCTGCCAGTCTGTCTCCTTTGGGTATCAATCATCGTCTCTCCTCTAGACAGTGGCCACCGCCTTCTGACTGGCAACTGCACCTCCTGGTCCCGCCTGTCCCTGTCCACAGTCTCACTTCCTCACAGTTATTCCCTCTCCACAGCAGCCCGTTATTGTTTCAAAACAGAAAGCACATAAGTCATGATCCCGCTTATGAAACCATGCCCCGTCCTCACCCAGGACACGCTCAGGTCCTCAAGGACCTGGTGCTGCTGACAGTGGGGGCAGCAGAGCTATGCCCCTTCCCTGGGCCTCCTCCATGTTCTTCAAACACATCAGCCAAGACCCAGCCCCAGGCCCTTTGCACCTGCTGTTCCTGCTGCCTGACTGTTTCCTCTAGGCCTGTGTCAACTCACTCCTTCCTGCCTCTCTGCCCCTCTCTTCTGAGTGCCAGCTGGAGGGCAGCCTTCCTTGGCTGCCCCTTCTGTCCCAGTGTCCTGCTCCCCTCGGGGTTCTATCTCCTTGTCACTATCCCGCCCACGACGGCCTATGAGCTTTGTTTGGGTTCTCTCCTGCCTGCATGGCAGCTCTGGGCCAGGGTAGCTTGTGCCCATGAAATCCCCCTACCCAGCGCTAAGTTCCCCGAGGGCAAGGGCTGCCCTCACTAGGAAGGGCGCGGAAAATGAAGACCTGGGGCCCTTGGCTCCTCTGTCCGGTAGGAGGGTGCCCTTCACAGGGGGCTGCTATCCGAACGGCGTTGAGAAAGTGGGTTGAGCAGCTGACACAGTGCCAGGCACAGAGTAGGTCTTCAGCTTTGCTCAAACACTCCATGTGGTGGTGGTGGGGGGCGCATGGGGAAGTGGCAGAGAGGGCTGGGTAGGCCTGCAGGGCTGGCTGAGGTTGAGTCCCAGGTATCAACAGGCAGAGCAGCCTCCAGAAGTTCCCAGAAAACGGGAGGAGACAGCGCCGCTCACTGGGGTCTCAGGCCGGGGCCCATACTCAGCTCTGGCCCTGCCAGAGGACAGGGAGATGCCCCCGCCCAGGGGAGAAGGAAGTGGCTGGCGACCCTGCCTCAGCCACAGAGAGGCCAGACACTGCCATCTGTCTCAGGATAGGCGAGCAGAAGGGCTGAGGGCCCAGCGTGCGGGGCTAGGTGCTCCCGTGTTTGGGGGTGTGGGGAAGGCATCGCAGGAGGGGAGGCACCAGGTTCCAGGCAGAAAGTTTCCCCATCGGCACAGCCCACGCATGGCGCAGGCTGGGAGGGGGCCCGGTCCTGGGAGGTGTGCACACAGGCCTCCCTCGGAGGGCATCAGATGGCTAATTGTCTGGGAAGCTCCCAGGAAGCAAGCAGAGCCTGGCTGCCAGCGGCTCCCCAGCAGGGGACTAGCCGGCCGGAGTGCTGGTCAGGGCCTCCCTGCCCCCCCCTCCCCTCCCAAGTGGGCAGAGCAGCTCAGTCCCTCTGGCCCTCAAGGCACAAATGATCTTTCCTTCCAAAATAAGGACAGATGCAGAAGAGATTTTCAGCCTGAGCCCAGAGGCTGAGAGATACAGCACCACAGAGCACGGCCAGGAGGGGCCTGGAGTTGCTCGAGACTAAGCTACGCTTGCTGCCTGGGGCAGGCTCACAGGCCTGGATCACGGACCCTCGGAGAGACCCTGAAGCCGCTTGCACAGTCGCAGGGGCTGAGCTGCGGCCGCCTGCCACCCCGGGGCCTCCCTCATCACTGCCTCCTTGTGCCGAGAGGCCGGAGGAAGGAACCCCAGGGGATTGCCCCACTGGGCGCTGAGCCAACAGCCAGGACCTCCCCGAGAAGCCCGCCCGCTGGCACCGCTCCCCCCAGGCCAGGAAGCAGGCCCCGAGAGGTACAGCAACCTTCCCACGACCGCGCCTCTCACAACCTACCGCTCTTGGCTCTGGACCCCGGGATGCCCGGCTCCGAAGGGGGACCCCAGGAGCGGGAGCCCTCCCAAGATGTCCGGCCCACGTCTCCGGGACCTGCCCCGGCTTCTCGGCTGCAGAACCCCTGGGCAGCGGGCCAGGGCTGGCCGGCCTAGTCGGCTCCCCACACACCCCTCACGCTTTTCCAGATGTGAGCGGGACCCAGCCAGGGGCAACAGGCTCGCTCGGAGGGGAATCTGAAGACGCCAGTGGGGAACTATGTGCTGTCCCATCGCAACCCTCCACTCTGTCTCTGCGGCAACTCCACCCGCCCCCTCGGGCCGCAGACCTGCTGACTCTGGTCTCCCGGGCAGCAAGGGCTGGGATCCTGCCCAGGGCCTGTCTGTCTGACTCAGGGAGTGGCCTTCAGCCTCTTGGGGGTCCCCCACAAAAAGGCAAACAGAGCACTTTTCCTGAAGCCCCTGAGACCATCCCCCCCAGTAACCAGGGTGCCCTGTACTTCTGGGTGTTAAGTGAGGGTTAGGGTACCGTGCCCACACCTACCCTGAATGGCTCGTTCATCACAGTCGGTGAGGTGGCCACCCCAACCCTGGGGTCCCACACACTGCAGCACGGACCACGAGCCGCGCCGGGCTGCACCCTCAGCCCCGCGGTTCAGCTGTGTGACTATCCCCACGCGGGAAGGGAGGCGTGGAAAGGCTGGTCTGTGGACTGACCCGTGAGCCTCTATCCGGAATGGCAGGGCATCCTAGCTGGGCCTGTTGCATCTGTAAACAACCCCTGGGGTTTCTTGTGTGCCAATCCCCGGAAACCACAGGAGGGAATGAGACGCAAGAAAATCCATCTGCGGCCAGAGGGAAAAGCACACAGCCTAAGCCTGGGGAACTGCCCCTGCCTGGCCCATGCTCCAAGCTGTCCACCCAAAAGGCCCACCCCTGGGTCTAAGGAGGGACAGGCAGCCGCTGATTACTCCAGGGAAAGCTTTGCTCTCTCCATCCCACGGCCAGTAGGCATCCCCGTGTGATAGACCGCCTCAGCCTCACTGTCTGCCATGTTCTGCTAATGCCTTCTTGGGCTGGAGGCTTTTCCCTACCCTCCCTCACTTACCATCCAGGCTGAGGCCCAGCTGCAGAGACAACTCTAACTATTGGAGTTACAACTTATTACAGCGGGAGTGAGCTGTGTGGGAGGGATTTCCCTCTTCCCTGTGGCGGCCAGGAAGCTCAGGAATTTTCACCTCAACAGAAAGACCTCAGGACCCTGCATATCTCTATTTTGTACTATTTCCCTCCCTAAGTCATGACATCTAATTTGTGCTTTTCCTGTCCTGGTGCCTTATTGATATATTTTTTTAAAAAGATTTATTTATTTATGCATACAGAACTAGGGTACAGGCCAGAAGTGCAGGGGCAGGGAGAGGATTCACCAGAGACAGAGTGGGGAGCAGAACAGGCAGATCGATGAAGTACACGGCTGAGGGGAGCAGCGGGCAGGTCAGGAGAGGTCTGCCGCGCCCCGTGGGTCCCCTCCGGGGCAGTTGGGGATTGAACTCGCACTAAGGCTGCGGCCAGCTTGCAGTGCTGCGTCCCAACCCGTTGCACCACCAGGGTCGGCCTGCCTTATTGCTATTTTAAATTTTCCTACTTTATTGTGGCACTTATTAGTTATTTCTTATTAGACTGTTGCAGATATTTGGGGAAGGAAGACACGCTTACAGTTTATATATCAGGCAAGGGAGGGGTGGGAAGAAAGGGAGATATTCTGCTAATTCCTTACTCTTCCTAAGACGTTGCCTTTAAGTGAAAACATGCTCCTAGGTGACCTTATGGAAACGCTCAAGTGGGCCTCTGCCTCTCAGGTCCCGCACCCCACCCCTCGTCCTGGCGCCACCGAACCCCCCTTGACAGGTGAAGAGACTGAAATGGGCCTTGCCCCAGCGCTCTTCTCTGACCCAGAAGCTTTCCGGTAGCTACCAGGCTGGAGCCAAGAGGGCGGGGTTTCCATACACCTTGGCCCTGGCGCGTGGGGCCCCTGGCCCGGGCACACCCCCGCCCGTCTGCCTGTGCGACTGACCACAGCAGCAGCAGCAGCAGTGACCCGTCCAGGGCTGGCCCTGTGCCAGGCCCTGTGCTCTGGGTGTTGCCTCACTCAATCCTCACCCTACCTGCACCTCTGGCCAGGAGGTGCGGCTCCTCACCACGGGGACACCAAGGCCTCTCGCACACCGACTCAGTCGGGCTGCGACTGAGCGGGCTGCCGCTGACAGTCCCGCGAGGAGCGTCCCGACGACACCCCCACACCGACGGCAGCCGGCTCAGAGGGACAAGGGCAGGGCCCGTCACCAGCTGTGCCCAGTGTCGCTGAGTGGTGGAACAAGGGGGGAGGCTGCCAGCTACTGTGCCCGCCCCTGGCAGCCTCCACTGGGCACTCCCGGTCCTGGCCAAATGCCTGCTTCATGCTCCTTCTCCCCAGGACGTACCCACTCGCGCTTCCCTGGAGAGCACCAGGCGCGGCTTCCCTGGCTCTACCCCCGGCCCCCCAGGCTGAGGCTGCCCTGGGCCTCCCATTGCCCTCGCCAACGTCCTGTCCGGAGCCTGCCGGGCTGAGCCGCGGCAATGCCGGTCCCCAGTACCTGAGGGTCCTCACGGAGATGCAGTACTTCCACATCAGGCTCCACACGGCGCGGCCATCACCCTTCATCCCTGGCGAGGTGGGGGAGCGGGCAGCAAGGGGCCCCGGCATCTACCCTCTGACCTGTTCTCTCGGCCAGGGACCGGCTCCCTGTGCTGGCTCTCAGGTCACTTCCTTCTTCATGGTGGGAAGAAGAAAGGAAAGGCCCCGAAGCCGGGGAGAGGCGGGGGCGCTGGCTCCTGGTGACTGCGGGTCCCTGCCGCCAGCCTCTCTGTGCCCGGCCAGCCTCCGCGCCAGGGCCCTCAGCTGCTCCAGACTCTCCTGGCCGAGTGGTCCCGTACACCCTTCCCCGTGGCTCTGTACACCCTTGCCCCTGCCTCCTGCCAGGAGACAGAAGTGGCTGTGGGCCAGGGGAGTGGTGAGTCACCGGGGCGGGCTGTGAGGGGCGTCTGCCCGGTGAGGGAGCGAGAGTCAGAGCCCGGGGAATCCGGGGCCGCTCCTGTGTCCAGAAGCTGGTCTGGGACAGAGAGGCTGGGCCTGAGCGGGAGGGAGGTGGGCGGGGAGGCGAGGGCGGGCCCACATCCTCCCCTACCTCCCCAGAGGCCTAAACCCAACACCCGCCCTCCTGCAGCCCGGCCCACCCGAAGCCGCTGAAGCGAAGCCGAAGCCGAAGCCAGGCCAGGATGAGAAAGGGGCTGCCCTGCGGCTCAGCGCTGCTCCACTGCTCTGCTCCGAAGGGAGCTCGGCTGGTGGCCGGAAAACAAATGGAAGAAGCCAGGGCTACCCTGGGGGAGGGGCCAGCCTGGCTGGGTCTCTGGGTGGTGCCAGAGAGGAGGCGCCCAGCCCTGGCCAGGTCACTGCCTTGCCGAGGGACAGCGCCGGGCGGGCGGGCCCCTCTTTGGCCTTCATTCTTTCCCACCACCTCTCAAGGGGTCCTGGGTTTGCTCTAGGTCTTCCACCAGCCAGACCTAACTCATCCAAATTCCCGCAAGGGTCTGGTCAAGAGGAGTTGACTGCTCTGTTTTACATTTGAGGAAACTGAGTCACACAGGAGTTACCCACGTAGGGAGGTACCGACTCAGGGAGTGGTGGAGGTCTGGTTTCAGGAGCCCACCCCAGAGAAGCGGTGGGCAGAGGTAGTGGTGGAGGTGGGGTGAGGTCTGGGGTCCCTCTGAGCAGCTGTGGGGCCTGGGCCTGAGCTGTGGTGGGGGACATTTCCAGACTGGGGTCCCAGCAGGAGCCCCCACCCTCGCTCCACAGCAGCTGCTCCCAGGCCCAGCCCAGGGCAGGCAGCTGGGGCTTCCCAGGCGGAGCCCCCAGGGACAGTGACTCACAGCTCAAGGTCACTGCTCACAGAACCTATTCTCCCCACCCACAGCCCACAGGAAGTCCCCCAGCAGGCAAGGTGCGCCTGGAGGCTGGCACCTAGGTCCTGGGCACCAGATGCAGCCACCAGCCATCACATCCCATGGGTACCAGGGCCCCATTTCACCCACGAAGAGAGCCAGCAGGAAGGCTGGAGCGGGGCCACCCGCACCTCTGGGTCAGTCTCCCGCTGTCCTGCGTCCTCTCTGTGGCTCGTGCAGGATGGAAATCGGTCTGGGATTCCAGGCGATTCCCACGGTGAGGGTGAGCAGCTGCCTGCTTGCCTGCCCCCCAAAGACGGGAAGGAGCTTTTTATATCAGAGTAAAACAGGCTCCCTCGGAGCCGGGGCCTCCTCGGGTGTCCGGGGACCCACATTCTCTCTCCTCAGACCTCTGAGGCGCCTCTGCCTGCCTCTGCAGCATCCCCAGTGCCCGTGAGAGGAGCTCCCTGTGCAGGAAGCTCACGGCGGGCCATCAGGGGCCCCCCGGCACCCAGGGGAACTCGTCGGGACCGAGCCTCTGTCACCTGCCACACAGGCTCTTCCGCGTGCCGCAGCGGAGACCCTCAGCTTCCCTGGCCGGGCCACGCAGCGGAAGCCTCCGCAGCTCTCCTGGGGAGGGGGGCAGCCTTGCCTACACCTGCACCCCGCTCGCCCTGCGTCACACACCTGCCACCCACCTGCCTCTCCGGTTAGCTGTCTGCTCTCGCGCCGCCACTGGCAACCCCTCACAGCTCCCTTCCCTCCCCACCACCAGCTGCACCCTCTTCCTTCTATGCCCTCGTCTGTCCATCCAGCCCCCAGCACCCATCGACCCGCCCATCCGGGCTCCCCTCTGCGCCGACTGCCCCATGGGCCCACGGGAGGTTTCAGCAGCCGCAGACCCTCCTCCCAGCTTCCTCCCAGCCATCTCTGCTTCTCACCTGGGCCTCGGTCCTACCTTGGGTCTCTCTCCCTGCCCCATGCCCTGGGGCCCCACAGATTCTGACTCTCCTGTCTCCTGGGCCGACGGTGCCAGCTCTGGCGGGAGCCCCTGAGCGTGGGCTGAGCACCAGGGACACACGGAGAAGCATGTGTCGCAGGCACTTTCTGAACCTGCCCTGTGCCCAGTACCAGTCACAGCAGGCCATGGCCAACAGGGGCAAGGGGCACTCTGGCAAGGGGTGGCATCAGAGAGTGGCTCATTTCCAAACCCGGGGGCCCGAGACCTTTGTGCAGCAGCTTCTGAGTCTCCTCAAAGTCGCCCCTGCGGGGCTCAATTCTTTGTCCTCCCCTTGGCTGTGGCCACTGGGTCCATCTCCTTCCTAGCAGTGCTCATTGGGGTCTCCCTCGCCCCACTTTACAGATGGAGAAACCAAGGCACAGGATGGGAACGGCCTCCCCGCTCTCACGAGGTGGCGCTAATGGCCCAAGGCCGCTCCTTGGCTTGGGGAGGAGGGGGCTCAGGGCCTACCCAGCAGGCCAGCCCAGGGCCACCCTCCATGCTCTCCTGGTGGCCCTTGAAGATCTGCACCCTAGGCCCCCATCACTCGGGCCCAGCGAGGAGCCTGAGTCCCAGGGACACTTGGCCGCACTGGGAGCTGACGGCAGCAGACTCTGCCTCCCAGGAGTGCTCAATGGGGGGGCCTGGGGCTCCCCCACTGTTTCCAGAACTTGTCTCATCGTATTCTCGCTCAGTGTCTCCAGTGTCGAGGGCTGGACACACCCCATTTTATGTATGAGGAAACCGAGATGCTTGGAGGTTTCTTGAATGCCAACTCATACACGTGTCTGCTCTCCCAGACAGCGGTTCTTGAGAACCGACAGTCACCGGAGGGATCGCTGGCGCCCTTGTCTCTACAGGGCACAGCTCACCTCTCTGCACCCCACTCTGTTCCTCCGCAGACCGGGAGTGAGCACGCCCAGGCTTCCGGCTACGGCGAGAAAGAAGGGACCAGGCTCCGGGACCGGGCGACCCGGTGTGTGCCCTGATGTCTCGGGGGTCGTCCTCTGTAGGACAGGAGCTGATCTCAGGGGCCCCTTCAAGAGTCCCAGCACGGCAGGGCGTGTGTCCGGTGTTAGGGAGCTGGGCAGCAGGAGGGGGGTGGCACAAGGTCCAGCCGCCTGGAAACATCTACACCCCCAGCTGTTCCCATACCGCAGCCACAGTCAAAGTTGGGATGTGTGAAGAGCTGGCCGGCCCTCCACCCTCAGCCCGGTGACTCACACGGCCCATTGGGGATGAAGTCACTGCCGCCCGGGCAGAGAAAAGGCTACATTTGTTCCCTGGGAGATGCGGCTGCCACAGTGAACTTGGCCGTGAGGGCAGGTCACAGCTCGGTGAGTGCTCACTGGAGGGAATGGGCCCAGCGGTGGGAAGAGGGGCCCCCAGGGGTGGACGCCTTCGGGGAGGGGGACTGGGGGTTCCTCTCTTCTGGAGACCAAGTCCAGCCTCCAGGTTTAGCTGAGCTTATCCCCTCTACTGTGGTCTTAGGGGCTCTGAACCCCCAACTCTGCCTCAGACATAGGAACAAGTTACTGCCTCAGTTTGCCTACCTCATCCACAAAATGGGTGCACACACTTGTTCTCGGTGGAGTGGAAGTGGGGGGCTTATGCTGCTGGACACGAGCTCGCTCCTCACTCCTTGGGTCTCTACCCTGCGGCTCCACCCCAAGGGATGTTCTGATGCCAAGCCCTCCTCGTAGCTGTCTCCCAGAGGAGCAGGCCAAGCCTCCGTGGGGCAGGCAAGGCCCTTTGCCCTCACCACCTGCAGTGAGCTCCAGGACACACTGCTGTGGCAGCCTCGCACCCCTCCCCTGCCCGGCACGAGCATCCTGCACAGCTGCTCCGGCCTTGGGCTGATCCTGCCCTCGGCTTCCTCGTGGATGTGGCCTCTGGGAGACCGTGGGAGCAGCAGGCAGAGAGGGAGTGCAGTCAGGGACCCCATGCCCCCACCCCTGCCCCTGCAGCCTCACTGCCTGGAGGTCGCCTCTGCACACAACTCCGGTGGACAACACGGATCCGCCCTCTACCCAGTCCAGGTGTCACACCCACACCGTTAAGCTCCCTTCGCCCCACCCCACCCTGCCTGCAGCCCCACCCAGACAGTGTTGCACACAACACCTCGCAGGGACCTTCTGTTTCCTCCCAGGACTCAACACACCACCCTGGAAAGCCACTTCAAAGCTACCGGCCCTAGGGAGCCACTTGTTTGTTTGTTTGTTCCTTCATCCCTTCAGCACATGTTGACTGCCTTGCTCAGGGCCAGATGCCACCTGGGAATATGGCGAGCGGAAGATGGTGCTGGCGGCAGGCAAGTAAAGAAAGGTGAGTTCTGACTGTGACCTGTGCCATCATGAAGGCAAATAAAACAGTCTCTTGCGGTGGCAAGCTCCCCTGGCTCCCCGCTTACTCGCCCGTCTTCCCCACTCCCCGGCCTGGGCTGCCACGGCCTCGCACTCTGCAAGTGCACCAGCTGCGTCAGGGTTTGTGGAAAGTGTGGGAGCACAGTCAGGGAGCTCAGTTCTTTGCACAGATTAAAGGAATCATTCTCCACAATGACCCTAAATGGAGGAGTCCTTAGTATTTCCAATGCCCCCTTTTCCCATTTTTTTAATTTTAACAAATGAACAAACTGGCCTTCAGCTACCTTGCCCAGGGTGATGTCTACACCCATCTCTGACTCAAAGCTTTTTCTCCTGCTTCAGGTCAAAACCAACATGAATCACCCCGCATCTATAGTTGCAGAT